CTCTCTCTCTCTCTCTCTCTCTCTCTCTCTCTCTCTCTCTCTCTCTCTCTCTCTCTCTCTCTTTCTCACATACACACACACTTATCTGTTCGTTGTTACACACAGATACATAGGACTCCAATAATGCCTCCCATTTCAGGCTAGTCTATTTTGGCTCAGGCGCATCGTATCTATATATGTCTTGTATCATGACTGTTGGTTTTCAGAAGGATCAGCCACTCAGCCGCATTGAACGCAACGGTAATATACACGGTGAATGCGTATACGCACTATTACTGTTGCGTTTGATGCGACTGAGTTGCTGATTCTTCGCGAAATCAATAGTCATGGTATAAAAATATGTAGATGCGATGCTAAGATGCCCTAGCCGGATCTGGAAAGCATCATTGGAGTTCTATGTATATACAAGCATGCACAGGTATCGACGGACAGAAAAGGACTCGGAGATGAATAGCTGTGTCGCGCTTACGTCAACTACAAGCGTCTCTGACGACTTGTTGCTAGGGCATATGCGGTGCGGAGCAGACAACATACGAAAATCGCCGCGGAACGAGATTATGCCGGAAAGCTGCTCCACAATGAGCCCCGTATGCATGATTGAATACTGGTACCAGATGAATGAGCGGGACGCGATGTACGAACCGGCCCCTGCAACAAATTTCGACCGCTGTTTTTCTTCCAGCAGAAACTCGCGAGCGCGAACGTCCGCGACATGTTATCGACGGAGGAACGTTTTCTTTGTGACCGTTTAGCGATTTTGTTGCAATGTCCCCTCCACGAGGATTCTACCGCACACTGTGGTATCTAATTTTCTGAACGTGTTAATTCTAACTGACTGTTATCTGTCCTAAGTCTCTCTGCCGATTTCGCTAGGATGATGTTCTTACGAAAGGAGAAAAAAATTTACAAATCCGAATTTTTTCTTTCAATCACTCTCAACGGGTGCGTACGATGAGGAATGCGTTACTGACGGAGGAGCATTTTGTTAGTAAAGGATCGTCTACAATAGAAGTCGTAAGATCGTAAGAAAGTTGACTAGTCAATTATTATATATTCTCCTTGTGCTCAAAGAATAATCGACTGTTGGTCAATTTTCTTACGACTTCTCACGGCCCATGACTAATATCGTAGACGATCCCTAAAGGTTATACAAACTTGGACCGAGAGTCAACCCAGTCCCGCCCGAGTTCAGCCCAAGTCTGCTCCTTTATGCGCTCGGAATGTAAACAATATATGTTTGGTCGCGACGAGATAAGTGGGGCACATTCGCAGAAAAGTGTAAAAGGTGTAAAGAACGCGCAGCAATGTTTATAACCTAATAAGTAGCACGCCGGTCGGCGTGCGGAGCCTCAGGTCAACTCGCCATCCCAGCGATTGTTGCCTCCTACGATATATAGCGCGCGCGGAGGCGGAGCAACATTTATTTAATGTTGGTTCTCCCGTGAAAACTCCCGACAGCGGCGATATTTATTATTTACCAGCCGACCGCGCTCTCTTGTTGCACGTTGCTGCGAGAAAATGAGAGACGCCGCGTCTCCCGACCGGCTCCGAACAAAACAAACACTACGCCCCGCGCGAGCACCGCTCCGAAAAAGAGTTCTGACGACGCCATTTCTGTTATAATTCGCCTTTGTTACACGCACCGTCGGAGCACGGTCCTGTCTCGTGCGAGAGATGCCACGGGAAGGAGCTCATCGATCGTGATCAGGTGTACTTACGGTCTGGACGATCGTCGCTGGTCGGAGTCGGGCGACAGTTCTCCCCAGGCGATGACGAAGGCCAGTCCATCCTGTCCGGATCGTACTTCGCGTCTCCGCCCGACGAAGACCACTTCTTCCTTTCCTATGCTAATCCAACCGAGATTTTTAACGGCCGATCACTCGCACACCGCGGACATGTGTGCACGCGACGCGGGAAACAACAGTACTGCCAACTTAAACCGATAGCTCTCGCCGCGTTCTCAAAGGCACTGCGCTGCAACACGTGACGCCTCGCTGTGCGGGCCCCTCCGCTTGAAAATGTCGCCCTGCAGCGAGATCGACTATCGATAACCTCTCAGCGATCTCGAGTATCGATATTATCGCAGAAAAATTTTTAAATTGAGAAACAGTCCTAATTACGGGTCGTCGTGTCCCTATTTCGGCTGAAACTTGGCCTACTAATATATTAGAAGATATACGTTATAATGAAAACACGCGGGACAAACTTTTTTTATACTTCTTAATTCTTCTGCAATTGTGTTCTAAAGTTACATTCACATTCTTAATATTAAAAAAAATCTAAGCAATCAGTTTGCTTTACCAACGATTTGTGAAATTTTTAATAAGTTGTGTTACGTATACCATTATTTTATATAGACTAAAACAATGGGAATATATATGGACATTATTAATATAAATTTGAGAATCGTACAATTCGTTATACGAGCGCGTCATATTTGTTGATCTATAATTACGACTTAGACCTAATAAATGTTTCTAATTTTTCTTATAATTTAGAATAAACTAATTTAAAATCTAATAATTTTGTTTAAAAACTAACATGTTAGAGAAAGAGTTGCTTATATTGGAACCAACAGTTCGCTTTAATGTTCAGTCAACAAATTTATGTAAACGATCGAAAGTTACTTTTACCTTAAGTGACCCATAATTCGGGCCGTCACTTTATCTGTGATCAAAGTAGGAGACATCATTTGAGAATCGTGATTTGCGGATGATGTCAATCGCCCGCTTTGTGTTTTGCTCTGCAAAAGAAGAAAAGAGTCCTAAATTCATTAGGTCTTGCAACAATATTTTTACGAGATTTTCTTTTTTCCAATTGCACGAGATATTGAATTTCGATATTGACATAATGCAAAAAATATAATTTTTTCTATCTCGTTTGCCTTTTATTAATATAATATCCGGGACATTTTGATGAAACCTAATATAGTCCTCTCTCTCAAATAAACCGTGTTCGAAAAATGAATATATGAACACCGGAAACAACTCGAGCGGACGCAAAATAACGACTTCGCTCACCGTTTCACATGAAGTTAATGCGCCGGTAACACGGCGTCATTTAAGATTTACGTCGATACGTTTAATTGCGTTCACCGATACACGTATAACACGTATTGGGAAAACAAGCAAGATTTAACACAACAGCTGTTATGTGTATTCAATTCGTCGAGAATAACGTCGGGATAGCTTTACAATTTTAATGCAAAGTGTCTTACACATTTGTCTACGTTTCGTTCTCGCGAACAACTTGAATAAAGACTACAACGTTTTATTTATTGTAATTTTTATTTGCAGGTAGCCACATCCTGCTCGAGAAATTACGAAAGTATAAGCCAAAAATCGCCGTGTTCAACGGCAAACTTATATACGAGGTGTTCTCGGGGAAGAAGGAGTTTGGATTCGGAAGACAGCCAAACCTCGTCGACGGTACAAATACGGTAAAGCAATTTTCTACATCGTTCTACATCGCATTAACGTTTCAAATCCGGACGCACAAAAATATTACATTAACACTAAACTTGAGAAACTTTTAATTATGTTGTTAAAAATGGTAGCAATATTATCGTGATCTTAAGATGTTACTAGAGAAAGTTATTACAACGTTTTGATGTTATGTGAGAAGGATCGTTAAACCTTTGGTCAAATTTGATTAAAAACTCGTTGCTCGAGCGATATTCTCATTCTCTGACGTCTCGTTGCAGTACATGTGGGTGATGCCTTCAAGTAGTGCGAGGTGTGCCCAATTACCACGGGCTGCCGACAAGGTGCCGTACTATGCGGCCCTGAAGAAGTTCCGTGACTATCTAAACGGCACGATCTCGCATCTGGACGAGTCGGACATCGTCTTCGCCGATTCGAAGCTCAAGAAGAAGGAGCACGAGCCAATCGAGGACAAGAAGCCGGTGTTCAACGACGACTTGGCCGACGGCGAGGGCCGCATCACGGAGATCAACGGCACGGGAATTAAACAAGAGTCGGGTGTGCAGATACCTGGCAAGAAGAAGCGAGGTAGACCGAAGAAGATCAAGAATCCCGAGGATCAGCCGCCGCCAGATCCCGAAAAGCTGGACGCGAACGGCGAAGTCATCAAGAAACGTCGCGGCCGCCCGAAGAAGATACACCAGCAACAGAAACAGTTAGAACGGGAGAGCCGGGAGAGAGAGCAGCAGCAACAGCAGCAGCAGCATCAAACGATGGGCCATCTGAACGACGGCTACGGCAACGCCGTGTCGAACTGTTTCTCGCCGCCGTTGATGTCACCGCCGAAGACGTTCCCGCACATGGCACCGTATCCGCAGCCGATGAACGACTCTGGCTTTTTCGGCCAGAGTATGCAAGACAGCAGCCCGTACAATATGAGCGCGAAGCAAAGCCCGGTGCATCTTCATCAGCATTACAGCCAGAGTCCCAAGTCTATGTCGTTGTCGTTCACGCATTCGGATCTGTCGTCGGAGATCAACACCGCGATCTCGTCGGAGAACAATTTGGAGCCGTCGCCGCTCACGTCGCCTAGCGTGGAACATCCGGACTTTGAGCCACCCACCAGCATGTCGCAGCAGAACATGGGCAACGACCATCGCCAATACAATCCTGCCGGACCGGGACCCGACCCTACCGCCACCGGACATCACGGCAGTCCTGGGACACCGTCCCACAACAGCTACGCTAATTACATGGGCTACCATGAACAGACGCCAGAGGCTCACAATCCGCATCCCCATCAGACGACACCGACGCCGCTTAGCCAGACCGCCGAAGAGCACTCCCATCACTCTCACCCGACGCCGCCGCATACACACCCGCACACGCCTACCCACGTAGCCTCTATGTCGCCGCACCATCATCCGCACGAGCAGTACGGTATCAAGAGGAACTCTGCTCAAGACGTGGCGTCCAAAAGCCTCAGCGACCTAGAGTCCCTCGTGGATCAGATCCCGAGCATAGCCGACGGTGGTGGTAGCCAACGACTGCAGCACTCGCACTCGGGCATGCCAGACGACAGTTTGGCGGAGAAGATGGACGCCCACCATCAGTCCTACATGTCCGGTTTCGGTGGTATGCAGACAGCTGGCGGAATGACCAATTACAGCCCACCGTTGGCTCCAGGTGGCGGTATCTATCCCGGCTCGCTGCATCACTCACCCAGCGACGGCTACGGCAGCTTGTACGGCATGAATGGCCGTCATCATCAGGAGTCTCAGCAGCAACAACAGCAGCAGCAACAGCAGCAGCATCAACAGCAGCAGCAGCAGCAGCAACAACAACAACAGCAGCAGCAGCAACAGCATAGCAAGTCCTACACGGTGGAGAACCTAGCGTCTAGCAACTACACACCCAGCATGAACCACGGCCATCCCGGCAACTCGTACCCCAACATCATACCCGGGCCGCACTATCCGGTGCCGATGGGCTCCACCAACGGCTACCTGTTTAGCGGTCTCGAGTCCAGCTTGATGCAGCGCACCTACGGGATCGGCAGCATGAGCGGCATGGGCGGCATGCATCCGGCATCCGCTCTCGGCCATATGACCAATCCGTACCCGTACAACGGCTCGTACTCGAGTTCCTTCGACGCTTACCCGGCGCCACCAGCTGGCATACACGCCCCGAGCGCCAATTATCCCGGCTACGTCGGCACGGCTGGCGCGGCGCCCAGCACCACCACTACGCCGCCGTCCTACCTCCCGTCGCACCACAGACCGCCGGTCGACCTCTCCTACGACGGTGTATGATAATCGATGTAAAGCGCGTTTCTCACCGCCCAACCATACCACCGCCCCTTCGTCATACCCCCTTGTCCCCCTATTAATCCCCGCCTGCCGATCGCCTCCCGCGCGCGAGCGACACACGACACGCGCAGCCGCGTTTATCTTTTCTACGTATTTTTACACACGTCTAGGCTCGTACTCAACGTCGGGGGCACACTGTCGTCGCGCGTCGTCTCCTCGCCGTCGTCGTTCCCCCTTGAAATCGCCCGCGAGCTACTCAAGCGCGAGCGTTGGCGAGATGCTACTTCGCGAACGCGCTCTTTCGCTCTCTGTCTGTCTGTCTGTCCGTCTTTGTGGTACTCTGGCACCCTGGTATATCTTGTGCTACCATTTCTTCTTCTCTCTCTCTCTCTCTCTCTCTCTCTCTTTTACTCTATCTAATTCAACGCGCAGAGTGTCTCAGGATTGGCGTAAAACGGGACCACACAGAGTTGACTTGTAAAATTTAGATTTTATTTTTCCTTTTACCGTGGAACATCGACAACCATTGCCAACATTGTCATTTGACTCCAAGTGAACATTACATGAACGGAATTTGTGTCTCAGCTCTTCGGCAACGGCGCCGGAGAGGAGTCAACCTTAAATTTTGCAAGATGTAACGTTGCACGTCCATTTGACGCCAATCATGAAACAGTCCACGTAACTATCTTTCATTGAAACGTCCCTCTTTCTCTCTGCTCCTGCATCCTACTTCCACCTCATCACTCCGCCTTCATTTCTCTCTGTCTCATTTTCCTTACTTTTTATCTCGCTCTCGGTATGCGATTATGCCGTGAGTAATTACGGGCGCGCGGCTCGGGAACGGGAAACTGCTCGCGAAACGCGACCACAGCGCACGCAACGAATGGAAAAGCCTTTTGCTAGATTAGGTTCGCCGATCGCGTTCTATACCGATCCGACCGTTAAACAACATACCACGTACATACATACCACATACGCGCGCACGCAAAGACCGATAACCGTGACGATAAACGGCGACCTTAACGCCTAATCGCAGATCGCGATTGCGAATTCGGCCGACGTAGCCGAGGCCAGCTGAGCGCGTAATTGCGCTGTCCCTTATATCTCCCCCGTCGATCGTACGACATCGATCATCGCCGATCACCCCGAGCACATACTCGAGGCTTTACCTCCGAAACCGTGCTCCCGTATTTTCGAAGGATCGCAAGTTCGGAATACGGGAAGCTGCGAGCTTGTCGCGCAGAGAGACAGGGAGAGAGAGATCTGCCATTGATACGCCGCCCTCGAAAAACCGATAAGAGATAACGTCGCGGCGCACAACTTGGAGTGAAGCGCGCGATGTCACGGAAAGTCAGCCAGGTCTTGAAAGAGGTGTAATCTCGAGGGGTTCGAATTTCGATGACATCGACGCGAAGTAATACCCGCGTTTAATGACGATCGCAAAGCGCGCGAAGATCGATGCAAGCTGCGCGTCTCTCCGTATCTACGCGCCGCATCGAGAGATTTACATGGGTGCTCGATATATCCACCAGGGATACATACTGCGACACCGTACGACTAGGAATGACGGCACCGTTTACTTATGCGTTTTGTATACAGCACTGCGATTTATACTATTGTTGGCTTGTTATTGTTGTTATTACTATATTGCGTGTTTGATCTATTGACGCGCGGCTTGAAGCGCAACTATGTTTCCACGTCGTCGGAACAGTTTTTCGTGTCCTTCGACTTGATTGATTACTCGATCAGTTTCACGTGTGAGAACGCACGTAGATAGTTTTCTTCTTCTTTTTTTTTTTTTGTTGTAGAAAGAAACGGTATTCGCAGGATCTCTCGGCTACTCGAACTCTTAACACCAGAGTGAGACCGCTAAGTCTGTTTACTTCGACGAAAATGTCGACCAGCAATTCTTATCTTTTGCGAGAACTTCAAAAATGACATTGCACGATGAAGAAGTCGATCGTTTACGAGATCGACATTGTCTCTCTTCGCATCCTCCGACTTGCGCTGTCATTGTCTCAAACCGCGGTTCTTGTGGTGTTGACTATCACTCTTCGCACCAATTGAATCTTAAAATCGCGGCAAGTGAAATATGAAAGATCCCAGGAGAATCAAACTTGTGCAGTCGAATGTACAATCTATCATGTCTATCATGTCTCCGTTAGTCCATGTTTGCGATCACAGCCACAGGCGACGACGAATCATTTTGCCAACTTGGATATATTAGAGATACGTAATAATAACCTTGATATTTGTCCGCGAATACGCGAAACGCGCGTGGCATGAGTTGACCGTGAGGTCCGTCCTTCGCGGGCGTCTTCGCGTACCCGCGGGGAAGAAATGGATCTCGCGAAATTGTCCCGGTTTGAATTTTCGGTAATAGGTCGAGAACGCGATCAATCGTCTACATTTTTCTCTCAATGTGTGTGAAAGCATTGCCGGTTACTTATCTTTTTCATTAACACGCGAATCCGCATCCGCTGCGTTGACCTCCATCCGAGCGACCGGATATTTGCATTCCTGCACGGAAGAAAAAGATATGGTGCACGTAACCAGAAATATTTAGTTGTGGGCAACATATCGTTGCATCAGCTCAGTTATCTCTGTGTGATAGTAATGTGTATGGTTGATATGAGTCAGTCACTTTGGTGCATCAACTACACCAATAGTAGTTGCGTATGATCTCGTTGTGGCAACCAGAAATCGGTCAGAGTGATGTTTATCATGAATACATTCTGGTTGGAGCAACCAGACGTCGTCACTGTTACACGGCAATTGCTCCGTGGGTGGTGGCGATCACATCAGTTGTTCCGTATTTTACTATTAATCTGGTTGGCACAACCAGATTTATGTGTGAGCCAATTGTGCTGTTTTTTTTTTCCGTGTGCGAACCAGAGATACGCTGTTATCTCGCCTGTTTGTGCTCGTTTATCTCATCGCCGTACCGCAGCGTGCTTATTTGAATGTTCCAATCTTGACTTTCGTCGACGGTACTCTTTTGTCGAGCGATTGTTTCAACAGAGGTCGTTCCCACGTCGTCATTAGAAAAACAGGTTTCCCGGGTAAACCACCGCTTGGGTGAAAACTGCAAATGTTGATTTTTACCAGGCGGCTGTTCAACAATATTTACCTCCCCCGTTCTGTACACGAAAGTTTACGAGCAATAAACGACGAATCGCTGGGCCGAGTCAGATTGTATTAGCGCGTTGCGACGCAAAGCGGAATCTAGGTAGGTTCTAGCGACTAGCATGTGCCATAACCGAGGACTCAGTTCGAACTTGCTAAGCGCAAAACGTAACTTTCGTACCATAAGAAGACGTGAAGATAACAGCAGGCAGTCGCACTTCCCGTGTGACCACCTCAACGACTTTTAAACGCGCGCTTGACTTTCGCGAGAAGGATCGATCCTTTAGGCAGTCGACTTTTGCTTTAATCGTCTGGTGCAATAAAATTTTCGCGTGATAGATTTCTGATCGGTAGCCGACGAAAATAAACTCGCCGCTCGATTATTGCCGCAACTGCGGTTGCATGCGTCGAAGCTCTTCCGATTCAGTCCCGCCGCTTCTCGCAACCTGACGATCGTCCGACTCGGCCCCCCGATCGCGACAAACGGCTGAGAGCATCGAACGCACTTTGTCGGAAGGCAACTCCACCGTCTCGGCAGACCTTAATGTAAAGAGAAAATATATCATCGAGCTGCGAACTGCGAGCCACGCCCCGTTTGCGCTCACCACTTATGTGAGTTTCGTGGGCTTTTTTAACAGAGTAAATATTAATCGTTATTGTCATCGTATCGTTAAGATTACTGCACATAGTAAGACGAGGCCCAAGGCCCGATTGCGCCGGTGTTTCTTTAATTGTAGAACAGCCGCTTGTATCAGTGTCGGTTGAGCTTGACCGCGGTTCAATTCTTATCCGGACGAATTATTTCCCGACCACGTTATTCTTTGGTTTGTTCCCTTTATAAGTCACACACAAAGCTGTCTTACTTACATGAATACGTAGAGTACGGAATGTGCGTGGGCAACTTTTGTTGGCAAAATTGTCGCACCAAGTATCGCTCTCATTTAAATATATTTTCAAGTACTGAAAGTTTCTCTTGGATATATTTATATGAGGTGTTCAACGCTTGTCTCGGATAAGGTGTAGCTTCTTCATCCTCGTCTAGAGCCGAAACCAGAAGGGGACGCAGAGAATTTCGAATTGAACCGAAGCTGACATTGACCGACGTTGGTGGAAGCGGCCATTTTAACGCGTGCGGAATAGTGATCCGCTGACGGTCGACCGAATTATAACATTTGAATCTAGAAGTCTAAGCGAGAACACCCGCGCAACCGGATACCGAGCTCACTTAAATGTAAGACGTAAGTCCTAACGAGAGGCAGAAGGAAGAGACTATTCGTACGTTTGTTTATCACGCCCGTCACACTTTCGTACCTCGCGCCCGCAACAGCCATTGCCGTTCTCGTTGCAACTCTGATTATTATTTATCGTTAGAACTCGATATCGCTGTGGAGTTACATATGTTACTGTCGTTAACATAGTCGCGTTACGTTGTCTCGTTAATTATATTCTGTTATGCGTTTCGCATTGTCGAAAGTCACTATATATTAAATACATGATTATAACACTTACATGGAAATACATACATACACACACACACACACACATACACACACACAATTACACGCAGTCGTATAGGTATTAATAGCTGGCATTATTAAATCGACATCCTCCTTTGTCGCTGACCGACGCTGTAAAGTGACGCATCTGGCATGATTATATAAATATATATATATATATACAGATATAAATATATAAATATATAAATATAAATATATATATAGATATATTATAAATAAACTATAAATATTATATATTGAATATAAATATTGTAAGGATATAAGCGCGCGAGAGCAACACACACCATAGGATATGTCGAGACATTTAAGATGATGCACAGGGTATAGAATGAAGAATCGTTGATATAATAACTGATGTCTATATTATTATAGATGTTTCTTTCGTTCCATCGGCCTCAAACGCACTCACACGCGAGTCACGCGAGTACGTACGTACGCGATCGAAGTATTGTAGTAGATGTTTTTCAGAATCCAATCCGACTCCGGGCGGCGGCCAAGAATATAGATGTCATGTCCGTGTGTTAGTCCGCGCAAACGTTCATCGATTCGAAATGCGAGAGGGACGAGGATTAAAATATGTATTCCCGCCGGTTCTCCCGACAAGAGAGAAACAGAGAGAAAAAAGAGAGGGGGGAGAGAGAGAGAGAGAGAGAGAGAGAGAGAGAGGGGGGGGGGTGAGA